GCAGCCTTATTTGCTACTCTGCCAACTATTTTCTGTATTTACTCCTGCTACTCGTGTCACAGAGGCACTAAGCCGGGAACGCAGGCCTACTTCAGAGCACGCTTATTTCAGACATGCCCCTTGCCTCGAGACTCATTGCTGCTGGAGCTGTCGGAGGACGCTGGCTTTGGGGCTGGCGCCTGGTTTCCTGGTAAAGCTCTCCGAAACTCTGCCCCTTTCCTCCCCTCCTGGAGCCTGTCCTGACTCCACACGAACCACGAAAAGGCAGCTCAAGAGCTGGCCCCTCGGATCCTGCATTCAAAGCCCTTCTCTGACAGTTTAGGTCAGGCTTCTGATCTGAACCACGTGGATCTTAAGTTACCTGAAATCTTCTCCTGGAGGACTATATAAACTCATTGGCTTACTTATTTATTTAGAACAGAAGAGAGATTTGCAGGACTGTGCCCAAGTTTTTCAAAGCTTAGTTTCTGTGGTTGTCACATTGCCTAAAACTGACATGTTTTATAACTATAGTGGGCTACAAAACTGTTCAGCAGTTAACTCTCGATGATGAAAAACAAACACTTTTTTAAAAATACAGATGTTTTCTGGATTATCTTATCCTGTGATTTTATTGGGGGCTTAATGATTGACTAATCAATGAGCCAATGAAGCTACAATATGATAAAAAAGAATTTTTTTTTTAATTTATGAAGAAATGTTTTGTCTTCAAGGTGACCAAAATTTGCATCCTTCCTACCTCAGCTTCTAATAGCATTATTTAAATGGGAAAGACCTTTCACTTCAGAGCTGTTTTTCTTTGGTATAATTATAAACTGAACTTCTCCGGGGGCACAACCACACTGGCATAGTACTTCTTGCAGTTACCAGAGCTATCACCAAACTGAATACGTGCTCTGGTCCTCCTGCAAAACTGGCTTTGCCTCTCACATGCGGAGTAGTGACAGAAGCGCTTGCTCTCACACGCAGGAGCAGCCGCCTCCCGCTGTAGTCTTGCATGCTCTAAGCTAGGCAAGGAGGTAAAAATTACCCTGGGAAGGATACTGAAGCTGAATGCTGCAAATAGATCAGACCTGCAAATGCACTGGGGTTCTCACTGCAAGCTTCTCTGCTCACCTTTTCTGCAGGAATCAACAGCAAAGCACAGATAGGTCCTACACATGCAAGTAGAGCAGCAGTGGTGCAAAACTCCTGCAGTGGTCTTCCCATGAAACTACTTCTTCAAAAAAAAAAAAAAATCAGAAGACAAAGATGTTATTCCCTTCCACACACCTACTGCACTATACAGGGATGATTACAGTGTACAAATGCAAGTTCTTCTATTAACTACCCAGCTTCTATGCTAGGATACACCTAAGAAAACCTTTAATTACATCCACTTTACTCAGCAACACTACTAAACTGTTCTGGTAATTCTGAAATGGTCAACATATTCAAAAATAGGATCTAACAATCTCTATGTGCACGGTATATTACATTTAGATACTTTTATTACAATCTTCCTTGCCACATATTTTAAAATAAAATAGATAAAACAATCACCATAACAGACTCAGACAAATTAACATCATCTAATCAAGATACATATAAGATACTCAACAAGGCAGTATAAGTAGCTAGAAACCTTGGTCCTCCAGTTCTTTTATATAGCATGTTGATCATAGATTTCTTTCATTTACCATGTAAATCATCAAACAAATATTTAAACTGACAATTTTCCTGTTGATTTCTGAAGTGTTTATGCCAAGTGTGAACAGTGTTGACTTTAGCACATGTCTATGCACGTGTCTCCCGTGGAGGTGAATGGGAGCTTTAAGCACATAATGACTATACCTAGGCCCAGGATAAGAGCTGATCATTTTACATGAATTTTGGTCCGTCTGGCAGAGTGGCTCCACAAACGAGGGCCCTTGCAGTAATCAAAATGGCTGACCACATACACGGGGTAGGTCCTTCCCAAAAAAAAGGGATTCAGCACAAATTACTCCTAGCGAGCGCAGAGAAAGCGTGGTGGCCCAGTCGACTGCACACAAGCAGCGAAGGTGGCGGTCCCGAAACACAGGAGCCTGATGGCCAAAGGGCTCTGGACTAGCAGGTTACAGAAACATTCGGGGCTGTTGGGAAGGGTTTTAGTTCTAGACACAACTTTCTGTCCTCAAGTGCTTGTTCTTCTGCAGTCAACTGGGACCTCAGTTGGTTTAGCCCAAGGGCAAGTAGATCACACAATGCTGCTACATTTCCTTCACTCCCTTAAATAACGGGCAGCTACCTGATCCTGAAACCCTTTTCAGCTGCACAGAAATACAGTAACAACCTGGAACCTTTACAGGTATTACAGCAGGGGATGAGGGCATAAAGAAGCACTGGATATGACTGTGTTAGGACTATGAATTTTGTTCCGCAAACATTACGAAAAAGTGTTGTATAACTCTGAATCTATAAAAATGTATCTAGATATTATGTATGTATACTCTGACATTCAAAAATACCTATGCTAGCATGTTATGACTACAAAAAGTTAGCTACAGCTTCTCTTTTGATGGTTGTTCTTCCAGGTAAGAGATATTAAGCCCAAATCTTGGCTTGAATGCATAGACCTGACCTAATTGAGAGCAGGTCAGTGGGAGTTTAAAACAAATATCATATAAGCAGCTCTCAGGGACTTCAGCAAAAGAATGGCTACTAGCAGCCACGTGGTACAGAATACAGCTAGTGCAGAAATACAAACTTCTGCAATTCTGTTTTGTTTGTTTGAAGCTCCTGAAGCTCCTCTTTAATCTTGTATCCATCCCTTACAGCATAGGGCTATGTCACAGATCCCCGGGAGTTGGAAAGTACTGGAGTGGTTCCTCCTCCTTTGCAGCAAAGGGAAGACATCACACCTGACAGCTGTAAGCTGCTCTGGCAAGCATCCCACACATTGCTTTATGGCAATATCCCGATTGACTACGATTTAAGTCTCTGATATCAAAGCTTCTTTATGTCAGAGAACATGCCAAGAGCCATGAGGCCCTCGGCCGGGCTCTGAGCTGCACTGGAGCAAGGGGACTTAGGAAAGCAAATGTCCTTTCCTGCCTGTGAACTGCTCCAAGGGCTCACGTACCTCTTGGCAAACTGAGGGGCACGGTAGAGGCCTCAGCGTTTGGCCTCCCTTCCTGCTGCCAAGGCAATTACAGGCCCCTGCCACATATGGCCAAGGAAGTTCAGTCTGCTGATCCCTCCTCCCCAGTGGGTGGTGGGGATTGTGCATTTCAACGTGAAATGGCCTACATTTAAAAAAATAAACAAACTCATGTTTGGAATATGGTGTGCAGCACTTATGTAATCAGTGCTAGAAATAGTTAAAATGCTCAACTGTTGAAATGCATCTCCAGCTGCAGTATTTAAATATTTTTGCTGAAAGCAACTGGCTCAAAAAAGGCAACTGTTCTCCCTGTGCAAATGTCATAGCAAAAAGCTTATCTAAAAATACATGGCAATTTATTAATACATAGCTATTTCTTAGCTATCTTGAAGTTGTCTCAGGAAGAAAAAAAAAAGCCTGCATCAAATTAAAAATGTAATGCTGCGGAAAAAAAAAAGTTACATGTTCTTCACAGAATACCTATGGTTTAGGGGTCTCTGATGATCATCTAGTCCACCCTCCCTTGGTCGAGCAGGGTCACCTACAGCACATTGCCCAGGATCGTGTCCTGACAGCTTCTGAGTATCTCCAAGGATGGAGACTCCACAACCTTTCTGGAAAACCTGTTGCAGGGTTTAATCACTCCTACAATATTTTTTTCTGATATTTCAATTTGTGCCCATTGCCTCTTGCCCTTTCACAAGGCACCACTGAGAAGGCTGGCTCCATCTTCGTTACTCACTCTCATCAGATATTTATACGCATTGATAAGATCTCACCTCTTTTTGTACACTGGATATCAGCTCATCTTTCCTACTGATTGCTAATCTCTGCTCACATCACCACAATTATTGCTAGAGTTATTTTATGGCAGTGGTTACTATAAACTGTGGCAACAGAGTCATGTTTTTCTTAAAATTCTCAAGTCAAAATAATGTTTTTCTCACTTTAATGCCAAATGGCACTCTATTGCAAGAGGCAATAATTGTTATTAGTTACTGAAAATGAAAGCTGAAAATTTGTCTATTAACTGCAAAATGCGTTCACCTCTTAAATGTCATTTGTTTTAGAGATACTTAAAATCAGGGTTTCAGATGTGTATTAATGAGGAAATCTTACTCTATAAAAAAACTGCCCAGACAAAAAAAAAATAACCGTAAGGATAAACCGCTTTTCCAATAAGTGATTTTTTTACAGAAAGTCCACAAAAATGATGGCATGAGTGAAAACTACTGTGGCACATCCAGTTCTTCGGGGGACTCCAAGCTATGCAAGTGACACTGCCTATCATTTAGGCATGCAAGATGAGGAATGTGCAAGAAAGGTATCTGGGAGACACCCCAGAGCAAAGTTCCTGAACACAGTCAGGTAATCCAAGAAAAACACTGCCAAAGATAAATGCAGCTCAGCAACTCAGTTTGGGTTTAACACCACACTAGATCTCATCTTGGGAGAAGCAAGAACTGTCCGTACGGTCACTCCTACACTGAGGTCAACCGGAAGTGGCCAAGCACATACCTACCACCTACCGGTATGATGCTTGGCTGGGATATGCAACCCACTGAAAGCGGTAATCTCATCTTAAAGCCTTAAGAGGCAGAATTTGGAAATTAGAATTTGTTCAAAGATTAATAATAATGCACTTCTGCAAACTCCAGTCAGCGTGGGTTGTAGAGAATTACATGACGGACACACCAGTTTTGCCTGGTTCGTGGCATTTGGCAAGTGTACGCAACATACTCAGCCACACACATTAGTTTCACCACAGGTGGCTCCAGTGATGAGTTCACCAACTGTGCTCACTAAGGCTAAGTGGAAGTGCCCTAACCAGTTTGTAAATGCAGCCACCCATGGAGAGCATGCTAGGGGAGTCAGCTTCAGAGCAGGAGCTGCTTTATCTTTTGTCCTTGAAGAACATCTGCCTTCACTTAAAAGCTGAACAAAGAAGCAAACCTGGCCTCAGAGGTAGGACTACGATCTTCTACCTTATTAATGAAGAAGTTTCTGGAGCAGACTTTCAGGAGAAACGTGAGGTGGGTACCTGTGGACATTAGAAATAAGCAGCAAGTACCTGTAAGAACTAAAGCTATGTAACTGTTCACAAACAAGAAACAGGAGCAGTTATCAGCAACATGAATGACACCTCAAGGTCACTTCAGAGCGCTTAAATGCTAAGCATCTCGAAAGTACTCCTTACACACAACCAGAACTTTGTGTGTAGTTTTAACCCTGCTTAGTTTCATAGTGCCTGAGATACTGAATACCAGAGTAAGTAACCAGATATCTCCAGGAAACAGGAGCACATCGCCACCTCCATTGGCACTAGATGCCATCTTGAAATATATTCTCCAGTCAGTCAAACATTCTATTAGCAAATTCACATCTAAAGTCTTTGGCAAGGCAGGAACATTGTATTTTCTTGCCCAGGGTAATACACAGACTAAGTGAATTTGACAGCCATTTTGATACCTGGGAATATGCTTTAATGCACACCAACTCTGTTTTGTTTTTAAAACTCAACAAGGCCAGCACATATATTTGAGAGTGGATATCTGCTTATGCTGGGCACTATTTCATGAAAATCAGGTTTTTGTCACAGATCTAAGGCAAATATTACAATTTACAGGAAAGAAATGAGGACATTGATACATTGTGCGTTATTGGAGACATACAGCCTTTATAACACAGCAGCTTTCACTATGATGTCTGGGTTTTCTATGTCCTTTTTGCTTTGGACCATTCTCAATTCCAGCTGGGCTGAGTTTGGTTTGTTTCCTCCAGCTTGTGCTAAAAAGATGACATCAAAACATCAGTAAAAAGAGCAGTATAAAAACAAACAAGTTACATTGTTCTGTTATCCCCTTTTTCTTTTTTTTTCCATTTCCCCACCTGCCTTACTCCTGCACGAGGCTGTAAGATCGAAGACAGATCAGCACTGTAACTGCCCATCACCCCTGCCTAGCACCTTTCTCCAGAAAAGTAACACAGCTCTGTTATCAGTTAGAAAATGACAGAGAGCTCCAAGAGTTCCCTTCTGGGTCTCCCTTGAAGTTTTAGGAGCTTGGCAAATCAAAGCAAAGAGAGGACAAATGTTCCCCCTCCGTTCACACAGCAAATACACTTCTGTTTATTCTTACTTTATAAACTCCTCTCAAGTCTAAACACATACACTAACAGTTAGCATGTTATACTGAAAACAGAGGCTCTTCTGCAGTCAAACTCAGCATTTCCGTGCATTCTTCCACCACTGCTTTGAACAGAAATCTCACCGCTACTGTAGTCCAAATATAAGCCGAACAGTGACATCTTCTGTCTGGTGTTGTCAAGAACAGGACTGGAGGACACAGTAAGGATCCACTACCTAGCTTTCACTCTCTGAATTCTCTAAATTCTTCCCAACTGCCTCCACAGTGAGGAGGACCTTTAATTAGGAAACAGAAAGCTCTCCAATTGCTGCAAATCAACACAGAGGAAGTTTGTGAAGAAGGTTTAAATGAATTACCTTTTGCACTCGTAATGGTCCTTTGCAGAACATGCTGCATGGCTGACACAGTCTTTTCACACGCCACCTGTGCATTAACAGAACATACTTAGATTTTTAATAACACTTCAGCAACCCAGTTTAGCAGCAGTGTTTTTGAAATATTATCATTAAGTGGCCAGCATGACTGAACAGAAGAGCAAAGAGAGATCATTACTTATTCTCTTCAAACCAATAAAGCCAAACTGTAACAGGATTTGGGAAAGAAAAAGTTTTAGAATCTCTTAATTCTCCCAGAACAGGTATTAGGAACAAAGTACATTCAGTCTTTCACTGGAGAGGGAGAGAAGAATGTCTTATTTGGCAAAACTACAAAGTACATTTATCCTATATATTTACAGTACATACATATACACTGCAGTATATTATAGACAAAAAGATTGCACAAGGTATAACTCAAGTGCAGTCACCCAAGCTTATACAATCTAAAATGTTGTGGCAAGACCCCTCCTTGTAAGGAGGAAAAAAAAATAGGGGCAAGAATAGGGGCAAGAAGAGAGTCTTAAGTAATGTCACAGAGTAAAATTAATAAAATAGGAACATAGTCCAGATTTGCAGACAGATGAATAACCTCTTCCACACCTTCAAATTGTTTGGATGCTTGTGCGTCCATGCCAAAAGCATAGCTGCAAATAAGTCTCCTGTTCCAACAAAGTCAGCATCCACTTTTGGAGACTCCACTCGAATTCTCTGTGTCACCTTGGTGCCATCTGCTTTAGCTACAACATAGACAGATAGTTAAGTAACAGATCCAGCAACTCATACAATAACATTTACCAATGTTTAAAAATGATTGTCACATTCACAATGCTATGTTGGAACTTAAAGATCCTAAGGAGGACTGTAAGTCCTCCAGTTCCTTCAGAACGCGTAACTTCCCAGCCATTTGCCAAGCTGGGAAAGGCTTCACAACTTCATACTGGGCACTAAGAGGGAGCAGGCAACTGGTACGTTCCTTCTTATAGAGGACTGAGATACGGCCTACCGTTTTTCACCTATACATCCATCAGTGGCAGCTTACCCTGAAAACACCTATTTATGCAGCCTGCTGAATCCTAGACGGGGCATCCCAAATCAGAACCTGGAGTATGTCTAGGTTGTATGGAGACACAACAGCAGCTGTGGACATCAGCAGAGAATATCTAATCCATGTGCCATGACTTGTTCCAGACTTGACATGTCCTAAGTGCTAAGAAGGTTCCTAGTAGAACCTGCATTAAACACGCATTTCTCTCAGCAGTCTAGAACACGATGCCTGTGTTTCTATCACATTGGTAATACAAATGTTTAGGTATACCACACAGGTGAGCAAGGAAGTCAGTTTCCCACCTGAATATGCCCTTTTCAGATGAAAGCAATCTGTGACAGCCGAAACACACATCAATCTAGGCTGCACCTCGAACCCTGTGTTCAGTTTTGGGCCCCTCACTACAAGAAAGACATGGATGTGCTGGAGCATGTCCAAAGGAGGGTGCAGGGGCTGGAGCACAGACCTTGTGAGGAGCAGCTGAGGGAGCTGGGGCTGTTTACACTGGAGGAGGCTCAAGGGAGACCTCATTGCTCTCTACAACTACCTGAAAGGAGGCTGTAGTGAGGCGGGGGTCGATCTCTTCTCCAGAATAACTATCCATAGGACAAGAGGAAATGGCCTCAAGCTGCGCCAGAGGAGGTTCACGTTGGATATTAGGAGAAATTTCTGCACAGAAAGAGTGGGGAGCCCTGGGAACAGGCTGCCCAGGGAAGCAGTGGAGTCACTGTCCCTGGCAGCGCTCAAGAAACGTGTGGATGAGGCACTTTGGGACAAGGTTTAGCAGCCACGGTGGGGATGGGCTTACAGTTGGGACTTGATGATCTTGAAGGTCTTTTACAACCAATGATTCTACTATTATACGATCTTGGTGGCAATATAGAAAGGCATATAAGGAATTAGCTGAAGTTCAAGCTATAAACTACCAGAGTACGAACAATCTGTTAATAAGACAGGGTAATTTTTTGTAAGAACATCCAAGCCCCTAGCATACCCAAATTTTCTGTTTAATACACCAACAGCTTGTCCGGGCCTTTCACAGGGGCTGTGACTGCCCTGCCTAGCCTCACGTGGGACGTGCACCCACGCACCCTCTGCCCCAGAGGCTGCACAGCAGCTCAGTCCCAGCTGTGCTTACCTAGGCTATGCTGTGGGCGAAGCTGCGCCTAGCCCTGCTGTCCTGCCTCGTTGCCTGGACTTCCCAGCCCGACCTTGACCTGATTTGTCTGTTGTCACCTTGTTTGATATCAGTGGACTATCAGTGGGACCTGTTGGTCATCACCTTCCCCTCTCTGCTCACCCTGATTGGATCTACAGACCTGTGTCCTGTCAGTGAGGGCAGTCCTCTGCCTGTGCTGTGGTCTCCCTCAACGTCTAGCTCCCCTTTCCTCACGGAACAGCCCTGCTCTTCATGCTCCCTGACAGTACTGCAGAAGAATTTCACTTAGATGGGCTGCTTCCATGCATTACAGATGGGTCTGATGAAGCCACTGCTTCTCGAAGGAACTGAAAGCACAAACAGGTTTAAAAAAGGACATCTCAATAATGGAGTTCATGACTTACTTTTCCTGTGGCTTCCCAGTGCAATTAGGTAGTCGTTTCCTAAAGGACCCTGTAGATCTGAGCTTGTGATCACCACAGTCTCTGGTCCCATGGCATGCAGCATATCCATTACCTTTCCATGTGCAAAACGACAGGAATCAGTGATTGCAAGAGGTGTTAATGAAACCTTAAATCATTTGTACTTTTGAGGATTTTTGACAAAAATCTGAGGCTTTTTGCAAAGAAAAAGAAACAATCCATCCTCAAAAATTTATTAGAATTAGAGGAAATTCATTTGAAATATAAGAATAAAAACAATGGTCTTTAATATCTACATATATATTTTAATCTGCCACCATCTCCATTTTAACTATCCTTGGATGTTTATTTGAAAAGAAAACTCCACTTTCAGTTGTGATGAGAATTTCTGTCTACACCACTTTTTTCAGAAACTTTTAGCATGAGAAGTAGAAAACAAATACACAGATACAAGCATCTGACTGACATCTTGAAACAACTGCTAGAGAGACAATAAATCCAGGTCACAAAATGTTAACATGATCACCTTCTTTAAGAATTAGTGAAAACAATGAGTTTAAAGAGCTCCAGTCAGAGGCAGGAGGATGTCTGTCTCAATCTTCCCCTCTCATTTTGTTCAAACCCCAAATTTCATCTGTAAATTACATACAGGTAATCCTCTCTGCATGTTCCTCACCTGAAACCACTAATACCCAGCTTCTGGCATCACAACTGATTGCTACAAAAGTGCTTTTGACTACACAGTAGAAAGGATGACTTTAATAATAGGTTTAGCATAAAACACAGATAAAATATTAATTCTCCCAGAAAGGTTTAATTAAAAATCCTCTTAGCCTAGCTATGACTCATGAGCAGCTAAATGATAAGGGTTTACTTCTGTCATTTTTAATTCTTTATTGCCTTTCTTTATTGTTTAAGCCTCGAAGTTTCTTCAGCCGTGAGATCTCTTTGCACAGATGCAGATTAGATTTTAAAAGTAAGTCCATCTGCAGATGCTTACATAATCTCTCTGTGAAGATACAGTAAGCTCAGTTTCACTTCTTGATGGAAATTCACCAGGGATCACTGCAATTTCTACTTGCAGCATTCAGCTCCTTCTACATTAATATTAGATCATATTTAATTTTATTTTAGACAACTACACTGTCATCTTTAGTCTTGCTCAAGCAACGAATCAAAATGTACCAGCATGTAAATCAACAGCAAAATTTCTACCCATTCTGAAGAGGACAAGTTTCCAGCATGGACTATTATTTAGAATGACATACTAATCTGTGCCATGCAGCTAGAGAGACAGACACAGCAACTACTTTAAAAATGTTTCTCTTCCTAAACAAGATTCCATTTGTTTTAGAGAGGTATTTAAAAATCCATCAGAGATAAGAGCCTGCATGCATGAGTCATGCAGACTGGCAGATAACTGACTTGTAAAATTGTTTAACACATCCAACTCATGTTTGCAGCTGCACAAACCTAAAACTAGTGGCTTCTCAGCTATCAGCGGAAGGACTGTTGTACTGAGGCTTGTGGTTCTACTGGTATGGAGAGGAAAAGCAGAACTGACAAGAGCAGAACTGAGCAGCTAGTAGCACAAAGCACAGTGTGCTTCTCCCTTGCTCCACCACAGTGTGGGAACATAAAATGGGAGAAAGAGAGAAAAAAATAAAATAGAGACCTTTTGGAACTGTTTTTTTTTTGTTGTTGTTGTTGTTGTGGAAAAACAAATATTAAGGCTGATAGAACTGAGCTACTCTCCCGGGTGCCGCTGCAGCTGCTGTTTGTCCAGAGACTTTGTGTTCCTTTGAAGCTCAAAAGCAAACAGGAAGAAATCACGTCAGCCCCTTATGAAAGCACCTGACCACAATCGCTGAAACAAAGAGTTCAGTCTTCTTGATATATCCATAGAACCAAGTTCCCATTTGCTTCATTACCAGGGTCTGTAGCTTTTCAGATTTATTCATTTTGTGTAAAAGGGTATATCCTTGCACCTTGACATAGTACATTTGAAGCCTTTCTATCATCATGCAGCAGCAGTGAGGACAGCAGCTGGCAGCACTATCACTGTGCATCTGTCTGCCTTTTACCAGGAAGCACCCAAAAGCCATTGCTCCAAGCCTGTTTTCTCATTTGTGCTCTCCTTTTGCAACCCAGGTCTCATCTTCTAGGAGTTAACAAAACACCTGCAGGCTCTAGGAATAGAATTGAGAGTCCATCCATTCAATGCTTGTCTGAGCTTACTGGCAAGCCCTCTGCTTTGCAAGCAGCCCCTTTGGGAGAGTGAGTAACAGACACAGCGTTGCAATCGCATAACCCCAGGCGGGCAGCAGAGGGAGCCACTCGCACACGTTTTAGTTGCACGGCCTCTCTGAATGTCACCTGGGGTTTTCACCACAATCAGTGCCGTGTGTGCCCATCTCACACTTCAGAAGACAACCTCATAGTGACCTTACTCATCATTATCACTGCGGTGCATTCACTTGTAGCTCCTTCAAGTAATTTCTTCAGAATAAAAAGTATTTTGTGCATGGAATGCACAGCTTTAATAATGAATGAAGAGAAAGGATAGCAGCAACCTGCAAGACTGTAGGCAAAAATATGGACAGAGATCTTGCACATCCTTCACCTACTTACCTCTAAAGCTTCTTTTTCTGTGTGAATCTTTCTACCAGTGAGTAACCTGAGAATGAAAAAGAAATTTTAGAAGAGGAGAAGCACTCCAGGTAATCACAGCTTTGTTCGATCTTCGAAAGGATGAAAGTTCAGTCTACACAAAAATATCCTTAGTAATTTGTTAGCTACATGAAGTAGTTTGCTGTACCAGACCACTGTCTTTCTTTAAAAAAGTTATGGGAACAAACACACAGTGCTTCTCACACAGATTTATACAGTCCTGCCTATTGCAGAGATCTCTGCATCACAAAATTACCTCAAAAGTATCTTCTCTCCATCTCCCATGTGTGGCTGCCCACCCTTTTAGGGGCAGACGAGCTCCTGAACAAAGAGTCTCAGCTATGGATACAAAAATCGGAAGAAATACTTACTCGGCCTCAAACTGATTAGGAGTAATTATATCAGCAACAGGAACAACTTTGTCTCTGTAGACAGGGAGAAGATCCTTTGGCACATACTAAGAGGGGAAAAGAAACAGAATCTAATGTCAGCAGCTGTATCAGATGTGGAAGCATAACTCGCCTTGCCTAAGTGCCACTCTACCTCCCTAACTCCCTTCTTTCCTGTACCAATTCTACGCCATCTTCTTGAGCCAGCTATGGCCCATGAGCAAAGGCAGACTGATTGTCGAAGCAGGTGCCATGCAGTGAGATGTAGTGAGAGCCTCTCAGTCTCTATGTTCTTCAGTCTCAAACAAAGTTTAAAAGGATAGTGGCGAGTATCAGCTCTTTTGTCATGCAGTGGAGCATAGCTAGGCATTCCCGTTCAGTAGGCACAGGACTCATGTCATCTTGGAATGACAGAATCCTTATGGTTGGAAAAGACCTTCAAGATCGAGTCCAACCATAATCTTCCTTAGACATGCTGTAATTCCATTTAACAAACTGCATTTTGAAAGTTCATTGCTAACTAGTAGCCGATATTCTTCAGCATCTTGTATGCTAAATCACAATTGCTACTTCATTTATACTTCATTTTCTCTGTTAGGCTGACATGCTACTTAGTGCAAGGTGTATGTGTCCATATGCAAATCTGCAGGCATGTTCCTGCCTTCCCCTGCGATTAAATCAGCAACAGATTGAAGCTCATTGCAGCACTGACCACAAGGTGCTCCTGCAACACCCACCATGCTCACACTGAACACAGCAATGCAGTCATGGGGAAGAGATGGCACCACAGGGACACTGTCTTTAGGCAGAAATGCAACACACGTGCACATGTAAGTTAAGATATTTAATAATAAATAGAACAGTAATTTTACAATAGAAATGAGTTGGGGGCTACATGGCGATATTTTCTCCCCCCTTTCTATCTATCCAGCCTTCCATCTTACAGCCATTGGTGTAGGCCCAGGGTTATGACTTCTCCTAAAAGCCAAAGCTTTGCAAGGTGACTCTGCACCTGCTACATCTCTGCCTTGTAAAGAATCTCCAAGGACAGTAAATATTGCACTAGATATAAACTGAATGAACAAGAACACAAGCACGATGATAAATTTATCACTAACTGTCATTTTATGGTATGTGTTTTATGAGCAGGTAAGCTATAAGAAGGTACAAGGACAAGAGTAATTCATAGAGCTTGACAAACCAAAGCAGAAGACAACATAAAATATCATTTTGGTTGATGTCTTCCCGCTCTGCACTTTTTATATTAGAATTATTGGCCAATTTTGCTTAAAAATGAATGCTTCTTTGTCTGTTTGCAGTCTGGTCTTGGCACACACAACCTTTCTGTCACAGAGGAGAGCCCAGTTCCTAACAGCTGTTGGATCTCACATGAAGTTAAGTCATCTCCATTGAGGTTCAAGTGGCAGGTCAATTCACAGGCTCCCTGGCAGTGCGAGAAAAGCTTCCTGCCAAAACAGCCCTCTTGACGGAAGATGAGAAAGCCCCAGTGAGCAACAGAGTGGGGAGCTGGAGGGTATTTTCCTGCTCTCAAGGTCTGTATTATTTGTTGTCTCAGCAGAGCATTAAATACAAGTCCCAGAGCTATGCAGCCCTCATTCATTCCACCTAAATACTAAACTCATCCAAATGCAAGTACTACAGTATAAAAGTGATGATGGGTTCCAAACCCACACCGAGGTAAAGTAGCTTAGTTTTGGTATTAAAAAAAAAATCTTTAAACTTTATACACCTTTGCACAGTATATGTTGCCTGTATAGAGAAGCCCAGCAGTAAGTACTCACCATAGAACCTTCTCCTTTCCATTTGTCACCCATCACTGGATCACACACTGCAACAGAGAGGGAATCTAGCTTTAGAAATGGGGAGCAATCACAGAGACCCCAGGGGATTAAAAGGTGCAAGTAACAGAGGTGGATGTGTTACAGCCTTGTCCCCGGATAGCTTATGTACTCATGCAGCTTGCAGCATACGCAACCAGCAATGCGCCATTTTTGGTTGGCAGTGCTGAAAGAGTAGGGCAAGTGTCTTAAACAAGTGTCAGAGGGTTGTGCTCACCCTCTCCTTCCTAGCTGTTATGTCAGATGCTGGGAGGGAAGGGGCTCTTGTTATGAAAGAGGCCGAGAGCTATCCCTTCCATTGCTCAACCCAAAACTCTGGAGCATTAATATGGGGGAAGATACATGGACGTATTTGTGAAGGAACAAAATTACACGTATTATGAAACTCGCAGTTTGGCCAGGATTTTCTTAAGCTCATACTTGTCACAGCAATATTAACACGCACAGATTTGGCACAGGTTCACAGTCATAAATAACATAAATAGCATATTCTTAGTGCTCTCAGTTTCAAAGCAGGACTGAAAGCGGCCTCGCCTTGTATTAGACAGGAGTATTGTTCATTCTATTAAAAGAGTTCAGTTTTCTTTCTAAATGAACAAAAAATCCAAGGTATCTAATTAATGCCCAGTCAGTATTTAGGAAAGTTTCTATGAGTCACAAGAGAGTTGTTCATTTTCACTTTTTTTAAAGCATTTTCCATACAACATAATCTGTTTATTAAGTACAAAGAGTATCACAAGCCCAGTTCCATTCTCACCATCTAACTACTTCTACACTAGATGTTTCTGTTCATAGACTGTATAGTTTCTAGCTTTCACTTACTGGCACAGGGCTCTGAAGAACCTGGGAACACAACGGTTTTGATACAGGTTTAAAAAGGCAATAAAAAAATAGACTCATGAAGGTATCTTTATTACATTTTCAGAATGAGAACTATACTTTGCTAACTGCCATAAATCTGATATCACAATATGCCGTGAATTATTCCAGACACTTCCTGACGACGTGGTTTGACCCAACCTGAGCATGCGAGGCTTAAACCACCACTCACAGTTCTTTACCCACTGCAAATCCCCACAAACTCTGCTCTTCATTCTCTAAGTTTTGCTCAATTCACGCCTACACTTGTGAAGCAGAAAATCCTGACATGCTCAGAGTCAGGAATAAAAGATGGGAATCCTTTCTCATGCTTTAAGCCTGACATGACGGTGGCTGTTGCAGTTGGTTGCTCTTTGAGCACTTCTGGGCGATCACAACACAGAAACCAGAATCTGAAAAAAACATACAAGCAAAACAACCCTCTGACTTTAAGCTATTTTTTCCGATTTTTCAACCTTAAGGCATAGTAGGATATTATTTTCTGGGATTTAACTAGAAACCCTGGCAGGGCAGTACAGAGGAGCCTACTCTGCTTTTGTCTGACTTAGAGGATTCAGTGACCAGCACTTCCAGGCTCCACTGCTGAACTACAAACAGCAGCAGCCAGAGGGGATTTCACAGGACATTCTTTGATACTCCTTAAAGTACCTTCTCCTTTGGCTGACATAAGGCAAGGAACATACTGAAAAGCATAAAATGAAAAAGGTAATAAATGAATGACACTCTCAACACTTGAGCAATGCTGAACTGAAATTTCACTGTCATTTTCACTCTCTGCTGAGGTCTGCTGGATCAGAAATGCTAAGGACTGTCAAGACAGTGCTGAACAATGTAAACAACGGGCATATATAACATTAAAGCAGAAAAGACTGTAATTCGTATGCTTACCATACACTAGGTTAGAGTTCTGCTGCTTCAACTCCTGGACAATATCCACCACCATTGCAAGAAACGATGTGTCCCTTGTATACCCTTCAGGGGAGAGAAAGAGGAAAAAAAATGACCTTTTTACAGTAAATTTTCATGAAAGTTTTTCTTTTTTTTAATTGGATAGAAAGGTTGCCTACTTCTTATTCTCTGGAATAATGCATTTCTAGAGCAAAGGAATTTTAGTATTTCATTCAGTAATAAGTAGGTGAAAGATAAATCCAGACAGGTGCTTTCTCACCTACAAATTCAACCTCAAAAATCGATTTGCTAAGCACCTTGTGGAAGAAGTGCCCATAAATTTCAAAATACTTGAAGGCATACATAAAAAAAGTCAGGCTGAAAGCACTCCTTTTCTTCACCAGTCTGAATCAGCTCTATTTATCACATTACAAACAAGAAATGCTTTAAAATCCATACATATCTCTCACAGAGAGAGGCTAGAAGCAGGTTTATTATTAACGGTGGTGATACCAACACATTAATAGAAGAGGACAATTAATCGTCAACAGTTTAGATCAATGTCTGACATACCAAAAAACTCTCCTTTTTATCCGTAGCAGTAAAGCAAGCTGAAAATACATTTCATTACTCCCCAAGACCCTAACAACAGTGCTACCACTGCAACTGTTTTATTTTTCATTTCTTATTGATGTGTTTATTCATTTAGCTACTTATCTTCTGTTGTTGTATTTCTGCATTCACTTATATTATATAAATAAGATATACTTACTAACTACTAATTCTTTTTTTAACTTTATTTAATATTACTCTTTTTAGCAATGTAGTTTCTTCAAGCTGTCAGACTGGAAATAAAAATGAAAAATATTTTAGGGATATTTTTAAATTCAAAAAAATATTTAATTTTTAGATATTGACAGAAAATGGAGAAAGCTTTCACGATTTTTGGCCGTAACACTTTGTCCTATGTCCACAAAATGCTGACAATTGGCGAAAAACAGCCAAGCAAATACTTTTGTTTAAAATGATCTGCCCTGACAGACTGGCCAAGAAAACAACACTCAGTATCATTAACATTTTAACAGTAGTATTTCAAAAACCTTATGCAGAACTCTTTCCTTTCTTCTTTTTTTAAGAAAGTTTAAGTTAATCAGTTTTAAGAAATTATTACCATTCCTGACCACTCCTTTTATCTATATTGAATAAAGGCCAATCTGATTGAGGTCTTCACACTGCAACCTATGTACAGAGACATAACACATTTCAAAATGCACTTCAATATTTCAACTTTTTTCCATGAAAATTTCTTTGTTGAAGGCTTCAATTTTCTTCTTCGATTTTGTATTTCTTATATCCATTTTATAGAGACAAGATAGCAAAGGAAATGGGGCATTTTCCAAGAGATAAGAGTAAAATAAAATAAAAAATCAAAGTGTCATCAAAAAGAATAATCAAACATTATTTACGAATTTTGCATACTAAGACTTCCTCTAAACATCAACAGTACAACATATCTTTCCTGGAAATTTCCTCTATATGACTTCTTTTCAGCAAAAAAGAATTTTTTTTCCAATATCTCAGTCACGCTGATCCCAACTCTACTGAAATTAATTTTTTAACCTAAGCTGAGTTTAGTTGCAATTTATTATCATCTTTACTTTAGGGAGATTCCCTGAAACAGAAAGAAAAATAAATCTTCAGACAGACCATACCCCTCCATGACAGGATGACTGCTTTGGGTCATAATCCCAGAGCCATACAAACAAAGTTTTCCCTGTGTATAAAGCACTTTCCTAAACTTGAAGTTTCACAGTTGAAGCTGTGAATCCACAGCTGAAGCTGTGAATTCAACCCGGTCTGGCTACTAATCCCTATTTCCATAATATCCAACTGAAATTGTAGGAGGATCTTAAGAATACCATGGCTCGGTTTGGAAGAAGGAAGGATGTGGTTCTTGAGCACGTGTCATGGGAACGCCCAGGGAAGCAGCTCCTACCTGTGAGCACGTAGTCGTACTGGTTGACATTGTTCAGCTTGAGTCCTTCATACAGCTCATGGAGTTCATCTGAATTTAGCACCTGGCCCTTCCAGTGGGCATAGCCTGCAAAATAAAGGGTAGATCATTTTTCAAGAGCTGTTTTTTCTGCCTAGGGTCACACTTGGCGGGAGAGGATGGGACATGAGCACCAGTTCTCCCTCCTCCCCCCTAAAACAAGGCTGCTGAATGAGAGCTGCCAGCAGCGGCACAGTTACATGGGCAGCTTTCCTGAGCACCTCTGGCTCCCAGGGGAATTAGCAGGACTACTCTGCAATTTCAGCTTCTCCATTTAGCAGCAAACTAAGTGCAGTGCACACAGACACTCTTGCAAGTTTCCCCAGGGAGCCCTCAGAACTAATCCTTTTCTGGAGAAACTGCTGACACAAGACAGCCATATATTTTAGTCTTCCTGGGGGGAGGGTGTCAGAATATCTATTTTTGCTATTTTACACTGTAAATGAGAAACTGTCTCCTAAATGACAAGCTTCATTTCCAACCATAAACCTACACTATGCAGCAATTCAGAGCCTAAATTTAACTGGCAAGAAAACAGTGTTGTGGGCCAGCCTGTCTCAACACAAGCAGGCTGCAGTGACGCACCCCTTGGCATGTACAGCTTTCCCCGAGTCCTGCACGTCATGAAATTTGGGCCCACGGCAGAACATTGTCATGGGATATCCTTTCACCATCGCCACCTTCATCTGACAGACTATCTTCCAAAAATAGCCTGTTTGTAATGCTGAGGATCCTGGAGGAGGTAAACGGGTACAAAGGACTCATACTGTAACACAAAATATCAACACACTGTTATCCTTGAAATGATCTCTAGGAATTATAAGCACAAATTCTTGGCTGAGAAGTGGATGGAAGATGAAGTTGCTGGGAGAAGCAGAACTTGTTTCAGCAGACAACAGGCCAGATTCCAAGGGTGCCAACTCTCAGGGTAAGGGGCAGAATTTTAGGCAGTGCTTAAAAAATAAATTTAAATATATATAACTTTAATTAGGATATTACATGAGAGATCTTGTTCCAGACCACCCCTGAGAGGAGACACTGGTATTTGTTTGTTTTAATTTCTTCCCTTGGAGTTAGACAATTCTGTGATAAACACTGTTGGCTTTGATTAGGGCTTTAAACTATGTTATTAGAATAGCTGCCAAAAGGTGCCTAGAGCCTGGGATAAGTACATTTTTCAGTCTTCTTTCTTAGAAAAGCAAATACACCCACAGTTGGGAGAACAGATGGATCATTTTGTTCCCCTCATCTCACAGAGGCCGAGCCTCTGAAACACTGCGCCCTGCCAGCTGGCTAAGGGACCGACTCACATCCGCCACGGGGAGTCCCTCCTTCGTGAAGATTTTCTAAAAGGTACGTGCTAAGAAACAGACGAAACGAGGGATTCCCCTGCAGGGATTGTAGCCCCGTTCAGAATACGATGAGGTTCAAACTGGCACTGCCCAGCACCGAGGCACACACGTCTGACTTCAAGCTTAACTCTGACGGACTCGAGCACTTGACTTATTTAACACATATGCCCCCCTTTTCATCCAAACCTCTCCTTGGACGAGCTCTGCGGAGCCAGCCCGTCTTGGGATGCACCACAGTCCTTTCTATTCCAGTGTTTACATGAGTGAAAATCATGGGAAAGGCTTCATCTGTTCCCACGCTCGTGTAAACTCAACGAGCGCACCAGGGGAGGGCAGTTCTCACCCAAAATGCAGCTTAGCCAACAAAAGAGCAGCCCTTCATCGTGTGGAACTGCTGAAGTTCGGAAGGGGAGGAACAAGCACCTAAACAACATGTGGGGCAGGGGCCCAGCTTTGCTCGGCCTGCTGCCTGAGCCAGGAGACTCCACAGTGCAAGCTCCACAGGAACAGCCCCCCAGGGGCTCTCTTTACCACCTGGTAACACGTAATACAAGCTGAAAATAACAGCTGGAGGAACATAACCCTCTGGAAGCCTGAAGGGAAGCCCAGTTATGCAAAGTGAAGACGGGGGAAAAGCCCTCACTGGATCTGCCGGGAACTGTGACTTCTCTGGAGCGGAGCTGAGTAACAACCAAAATCACAACTGGCAGTGAGGTAGAAACCACCCCATGTCCTTTCCCCACGGAATCTCCATGTAATATAATGAACAAGAGGACCAAACCCTATGGCGCTAGATTTATCCCAATCTCCTGGTGGAGCTTTGGGCCAAAAAAACCAACTTTTTTTGAGGAATGGAAGATGACAGTTGCTCATGTTTAAAAAGGATTTCGCTAACCAAAGCACTGCTGCCTTCAGGTCCTAGGAAGGGGGAAGAGGGATTCTTGCAAAAGGCACTCATAGAGGTCCACTAAAAATCCAGATGGACACTGCAATATGAAAAAACCACTGCATAGTCCTGAAACCAAAGCGACTTAGTGGTCTTTACATGCTCGAGTCCAACTGCCTTTGAGAAAAATCCAGAATATGGCTGGCATTATTATCCAGAGTCCTCTGTTTTCCAACCCAAGACAAAGTGTTGCAAGGTGTGAGCTTCCCCTGTGGTGCTCCCTGGAAAACTATATTGAGTGGCTTCAGTAGCTAAGCTTTTTGGACAGGAGAAAGGAGAAAAGATCCTGCGTTTAAGGCACATGATCAGCAATCTGGTCCCAGCTGTGCCACGGCATTCCCACACAAACCCTGGCAGGCAACCTGGTCTGAACGATTCCTGGGCCAACATTTCTCAACCCTCAGATCTCCGGAGGGCTTAAACGAAACCCAGAAATGCACTACCAAAGTCTCCAAGACAGAAACTGGAGAACTGAAGGATTTACAGCTGGGCAATGTGGGAGTAAAATGTAAGCACTGCTAGGCACGAGCAGGGATTTTTCCGTTTGCCCCTGCCTCACTGTGTTTCACAGTTGACATCGCAGGTGTTAATGGCTGGGGGAGGCAGGCTGCAAAGAATCGGATCAAAGAAGCAGAATTAGAATTTCTCATATCAGACGTAGCAGCCAACCCAACCACCCACTACACACCTACTAAGTGGAAATCAAAAGTGCTTTACTAAAAAAAAAAAAAAAAAAAGGCAGCAATTTGTTCTGGAACAGTTTCAAAGGTATGATTCACATGGCAAAGTAAGCACATTATCTGCTTACCATAAATTAATCTACCAATTAAGAACAAAAATTCAAATACACTTAATCATAAATGCCCCCTCCAAACCAACAACTGTAGAAACAAAAAATAAAAATCTAGACTTGTATTTTTTGTGTATCAGAATATGCAATGCTTTGCAAACAAGACAGTAAAATCAAATAGAATAAAATCCACAGAATCTCTGTCGGTTGTATGACTGCTTCTTTTATTTGTAGATGAAGCACGACTCCATTCAAGACTGAGTCACTCTAATCACAGACTAAATGCTCCTCAGCAAGGAAGATGGCAAAATGTTCTCCTACGAGGTATCGATTTGAAATACATTTTCAGGATTTTAGGATTATCAGTATCTAAAGAAAGATGAATTTTCTGAGCGGGAATCAGCAGAAATAGGCCAGTGCTATCTTGCTGATGTAGGGACAGTACCAAAAAAAAAAAGAAGCAATGGGGATTTATTAAAAAGGCCTGTTAGTCATTAATTCTTCTTGCATTTTAACTGTTGCTGAAAAGATCAAGTTTAAAGAAGGGGAGGTAGAAAGAAAGCAATCCATGTGCAAAACTCCTCAGACACGCTTTGCCACCCATCCCCTCTGGCAGGTATTGTTCTTTTATAAACCAGAGTTCACACCTAGGCTTGGAAACCTAAGTTTGCCCTTCAGCTTCAATCATGACCAGGCAGCAGAGAGCTTTCTGGGAAGTTCTTATTCTTCTACGAACAACAACAGTTACTGACTCCGTTTTATCCAGCACGTTTCATCCAGCGCTGGAACAGGCTGTCCAGAAAGGTCATGGAGTCTCCTTCTCTGGAGATCTTCCAAACCCGCCTGGATGTGACCCCGTGCCACGTGCTCTGGGTGTCCCTGCTGGAGCAGGGGGGTTGGACTGGATGATCTCTAGAGGTCCCTTCCAGCCTCAACCAGTCCGTGACTCTGCGATTCTGTGTCTTGGGTCCTGCAGTGCTGAGCCCAACGCTGCTGCCAGGCCAGGGTTCATTACTGCCCAAGGAGCACAGGCTGCACGCACACCGATGCGCAGTGCAGCCCATGCTGATGGCAAGGCAGGCGCCGACGCCGGGCAAGGCTCCACACAAAGTCAGCAGTGTTTGTTCCTACGTGCCAATGCAGACAGGAGCAGCAAGGACGACTGGATTTGTATCCCTCAATTTAGGGAAGAGTCGATAGGATTTAATGGAAATAATGCAGTGGTCAAAAACTAGCTCTCATAGAAAGGAATCTTCTTCCATTCCCTCCTCCCTCAGCTACTTGATCAACATTCCTAAATACAACCTCCTTCTATAGTTACTTCTGCCACGTGCCAAACTGTTACTAGAACAGCTGTAATAGTTGAATTTTTTTTTTCTGAAAGCTCTGCTTTCCAAAATCACGAGATTCTGCAATGACCTTCTCATTTTAATATACTTACTTAAGACAATCAAGATTAACAGAAAACGAACAAACAAGGATAATGTGACTACGAAGCAAAATACCAGGCAAAATAAAAGCTCCAAGTATGTAATGTCTTGTAAATCCTCATATTATTTTTATGATTTTTGGAATGTCTATTTAGGCCACCTTATGAAAAAAGTATTACCAAATTATTGTTCCTTCTGCTATCTTTACTGTCAGCCAACCTTTGCACAAGGTTATGGTACCCCTTCCCCAGATACGATACTACTAAAAACATCCCCGTTTTTGTAATTTGTATGCCTTCAGATGCATTCAGTTTATGGGCCACTAAAAAGTCTATTTAGCTCAAAGACCCTACATTTTTCATTTGTTCTTGAAACTCAAGACCAGGAAAAGAAAAACCCCTTATTTATTTTGATCACTTAATTATTTCAGGTGAGCACGTTGCTTCATTTCTAGCTATCACAACTCCTTTACCCAGTAATCAAAAGCTAAACAAATAAAATCTTCAACTCCAAAGCTAAACATATTAAAGAAATGCAAATCAAGTTTAAAAGCATTGTGCTGTGCCAAGAAGTTACAAACAGAAGAAGCAGCTTCTTTGCCTTATCCAGGAAACACCCGTGCCTTTTGTTTAATTATTACTTCAGTGCTTTTAACAAGCAGACTTTAATCTGCTTTTTAGGTGCCCGTGAAACTTTTATTTCTTCTTCTCAGGATGAACCCCTGCTGACTCTGAACCCTGCTCCATGGTAGGAAAACGCTTTAATCTTTTGAGAAAGGCTGCTGGGCCCACTCTTGGTTCCAAAAAAATTATCAGGTGACTAACAAAACTATACTTTTGACTCCAGGAAGATATCTTTTTTTTTTTTTTTCTTTTGGTCAGAAATTATTTTTGCTCTTTTCCAAGATGTGTTCCTGGATTTTCTATTTTAAAGATCCCTCTTGCCACCAGCCTGAAAAAGGAAGTACATCGCTACTTATTCAAGAAGAACAGGTCACTAGGAGCTCCTTTATGGGTGAAAAGCATTATTAAAATAAACATAAATTTCAAAAACTTTCCTTTGAAGAAGAAAGTTCTCTAGCACTGTGAGTGCCAAGAGGTCTCAAAGCGTGCTGCGAGCGTGTCATACTCAGGTTCCAAAACCAAGCAAAACGGATCCCAGGTGTTTTATCACCACGTCGGCCCCTAAGGTAGTTTTAAGACAATTACTGGTGCCATGTGTGGGCACAAAGAGCATTGCATCTAACTCTGTTCCTCTGCTGCTTGGGGTTGGTAGTGTGATTAGGAACCCCACTTGTTGCAAGGGAATTCCAGAGAGCGCCCTGCTCACAGAGCTGTCTGTGTGGATGGCTGGACACATGTTAATTCACTGCCTGAGCCACTTCCGTTACTTATTAACAGAACAGACTCGTGTCATGTCTCACCTTCATCCAAACCTACCAACCTCTGCGAGACCTGGATCAGTACATGAAAATTACACTTCTGTCCTATTCCTGGGAAAGTGAGAGTAAAAACTGGAAGACAGAGCTCCTTTCCAACTGTCATGTGATGAGGCTAGTCACGTGTCGGTAAGAGCCAAGTATGCATGAAGTGGTGCCTTAAGATACACGTAAATATTTTACCTGTGTGGTTTGAAAACTGGACAGAGTTCACTGTATCAACTTCAAAGCCCAAGACCTGGAACAAAACACAGGAATAGTTATTTCAATAGCACTTCTTTTCAAATACGTTATCAGTGTTATAAAACAGCAAGAAAGCTCCTATTGCATATTTAGAAACCTCCAGTGCAGTTTTAAGCAAAGCAAAGCTGAGTCAACCCAAATGCGACGTAAGCAATGTGGTACTTTACTATGGAAGGGTGTATGGAACAAAAGAGGCATTGGCTAAAAAAGGCACAGAAAAACAGATCCCTGAATTCTCAGGCAAGAGTTCATCTGGGGATACGGAGCTGAACACTGACCCCTGCAGCACTGAAGTCCTGATGAAAGCCTTGGCTAGGCTTTCTTGGCAAGAAAGTCTAAATTTCAAGGTATTAAATGAATGCAAAAATATGGAGGGAGGATGCAGTTGGTATTGCAGAAAGTCAATCTTTCTAAAAGGAGGACAGAAGAATCTTAAAAGGTCTCAACCTCATGAGCCATATTTGGATTTCACAAGCGGTTTCTTTTCAACTCAACGGTAAGCAAATTAAAAAAAAAAAAAAGAGAGAAAAGGTTTTGGAAATAATGAGGTAATTCAAGGAAGAGAACTTTAAAATGACGGAAACCTCAAAAGGCAAAACTATGCTCCAAAAGCCCCCTTCTACCTTACATTGCCAGCAATCCAAGTACTGAAATATCCACGATTTTGCTAGGGCAATGAACACTTTCTCATTGCCCAAACAGAGATAAATACTATGAAAATAAGAACATAAAATCAGGAGAAAACTAAGGAGGATTTTTAGTCTGACAGTACCCATTTAATACAAATGAGCATTACTATTCAAGCCATGCTACATTTTTATCTGCCACTAAAGAAATTCTAATACAATAGCGAGATAACAGTCTGGCATTTAATATTTGCTTTCACATGCTACTTGCTCTGAATACGAATTCTCCTCAAAAGAAGAGCTGCTATATATGGCTCAGCGAGTCACACAGAGAGGTAACAGTAATGATGCATCACTGTGTATGATCCATTTTCACGCAAATGGCTGAGATGGAAGGGAGAGAATAAATGAAGTTTTTGCCAGTCATGTTCTTCCCCGAGATGCACATCTCTCTCCATCACGATGGCAACCCCCTCACATATATTAAAACATATGAGTACAATGTACCAGCCATTAGATTTTCTCTGTGCAGGTACTTTTACTTCACACATAAAAGCTGGTAAGTGATCATCACCTCATTTCAAAACCTGAGCCGTTAGAAGATGAAGATACATGTTGTAGTGGATGTTTCCTTCTGCCTGCAGGTAGTGTGTAGCTTTTACAGATCATTTTGCAGATCAGAGCCTTACAGAGGTCTCTGCAGAATCAGTCTCTTAAATAAAGAAATAAATAAAGGTTTTCTGCTTGTTCCCTGCTACAGAGCAAAGTAATTTTATGTTAATGCTAGACAGAATGGTGGCTGCCTCAGTCTGAGCACATAAAAATTAACCTCTGCTTCTGCATTTAAACCGGTTTCCTACTCCACATTAGCAGATTTTATTTCAAAGGCCCAGGAGAGAAGGGGTTGGGAATGGGGCAGTAACTGTGTTGCCTTCAATATTCATGTTTGCATATTCCCTTCAGGGAAGCAAGTGAGAACCCTGCCTCCACAAAGACTGTCGCCCCTTTTCAGTTCCCCTTGCTAACAGACCTAGGCAGCTCTGATCACCCCCACACCTCTTGGTCTTGTTTTAGAAACTTCATCTCCTTCAGGCAACAGAAGAAACCCTAGGCAAGCCCACCTCCCAGAGACAGCAAGATGTCACGTTGGCTTAGCCATATGCTTGCTGAAACAGAGGTGAAGAAAAGGCTCTTGAATATTTGGAGGAAAAGTTACAGAAAGACCAAATTCTACCAAAGAGTTTGATTCTCTGTTTTCTCATCAGCACAACAGGATAAAGTAAAACTTCAGAAATCATAGAATCACAGAATGCTTAAGGTTGGAAGGAATCTCCAGAGATCATCTAGTCCAACCCTTCTGCAACGCAGGGTCACTTAGAGCACGTGGGACAGGACTGCGTCCAAGCGGGTTTGGAAGATCTCCAGAGAAGGAGACTCCACAACCTCTCCTGGGCAGCCTGTTCCAGGGCTCTGTCACCCTCACTGTTAAGAAATTTTTCCTTAAGTTCCTGTGGAACTTTTGGTGCTTCAGTTTGTGGTCATTACCTCTAGTTCTGTCTGTGGCCACCACTGAAAAGAGGCTGGCCCCATCCTCCACACTGCCTCCCTTGAGGTACTTATATACCCTGATCAGGTCCCCTCTCAGCCTTCTTCCAGGCTGAACAATCTTAATCACATAATTGTGATAGATTAAAGTTTTTGTTGTGAGTAAACGTACATTATGTTAATCTAACACACTCATTTGTAGAGTTCTGTGTTGAAATTCAGGCCCCAAAGTAGCATGTGGTTACTCTATTTTAAGGAATTTCCTTTTATAAAGATTTTTTATCAAAACAGAGAGTAGTTAAAAGCGATTTTAAAATGTCATTTTTAAAAGTAGTCAAATACATTTACAAAAATCTTCAATACTGCATTTTAAATAACAGCAACCAATGCTAAGGTTTGGGCTTAGTTCAAGCTATTAATTGAAATTAATTTAAAAATCACATTATACTAGTATATATTTGCAATTAAGTCCAATTAAATTGAGACATTTTTCAGAATACAGTCTCCAGAAGACCACCTGGCAACAGAATAGGATAGAGTGTTAAAATCAGCTTTTGATAGCCATTTTCTTTTGTATATCTATAGAGGGAACAGTATCTCAGTTTTTGTTTGTGCAGTTCATTTTAACAAAGTCAACGTTTAAAGTGTCTAAGGAAATAGTATCATTTTCCTTCAGCCAGTGATGAGAAAAGCGAATGAGCAGCTATCAGCCTCTCACATCTAAAAGACTCTGCTTGCAGTTAGTTTCCAATTCACTGAATGATAGATAGTCCTTCTGCTACTTGCTAGGCAGCTTGCTTCAAAACATGCCTTGTTATTTTCTTTCTTATATTGCCGATGACTTTAATTTCCCAAGCAGAGCTAACTTGAAATATTGATTTTGCTTTTTTTTAATTTCAACCAAAACAGAAGTTGAATAAACTTTAAGTTAATAATTGTCTAAGAAGAAGAAAAAAAAAGTATTGGTTTTCATGTGTGCAAACCTAGAAAGCTCAGAGCATAGCAAACATATTAAATCACAAACTTGCGTGAAATAAAAAGTGTAATGCCCAGATTTGAGCATGGAAGTATGAAAATAACACCTGATTAATTATCAAGGATTTAATTGGAAATCAACATTTTTTCTGATGCTATAAAACAGCAAATAGCAACTTTTTTAAAGTTTTTTTTTGTGCTTGTAAGTACAAATTCAAAGCAAAGTTAAAATCCATTATTTACTTTGCTATTGCTTGCTAATGCAAAGTACACTTAAATTAAAAATAATTAAATTAATAAAGTGAATTAAAATGAGTAAGTCAATCTAATTATTGATGTTCTTTCTATAACCAACCTAATTTAATTATTGATGTTCTTTCTACACAAGGAAGAAACAGAAGGCTGAAATATAGCTCAAATGGATCTTCACGTGTCTGAAGTACGTACGTGCATGTGTGTATATATGTATACACTCCTATATATAGACTAAAACACTATCTTGGCACTTTCTGTAACTTCCCAAACACTCAGCATGCCGTGATCTGCAAAGACTGCAAGTGAAATGGTAAATAAAGATGGGATTAGACCCACGTCGGAGCTTGCAGAGTTCTGACAGAGAACAAATTCCAGCTGCTGGTGGTTTACCATGGCTGACTGACGGGCACCGCTGTCCCTGACGTTTTGTTTGACGAGTACAGTAGAGGCCACGAGTGCCGCTATGCCAGTGACGAATGCCTGATTCGGACCCTGAAAGTGTCACCTTACACTCACTGATCCAACCCTTGCACATTGCTGCATGATTTTTCTTGCATGCAGGTTTGCTGCAGCCACCATCCACAATGCAAAAAAGGGCAGATATGTCATTAATACTCCTCCAGAACAAACCACACACCCTGCCCGTCAGTCCCCCAAGCAACAAAATACAGCTATGGATCAGTACAGCACAAACATTTGAACCATGACCCTGGATCTCAGAACTGCCCTCTGTGTGTGTGTGTGTGTATGCGCACGTGCACTCCACATGTCATATAGAATCATTTATTTTGACAGAAATATGAGAGATGAATGGGTGAGTCCACCTTTTTTTTTTTTTTGGTAAGCATCTTGACCAAAGGAGGGAGAACTGTTACCCTTCTAAAAACTT